TTTGTGACATGGGTAGATCTAGAGGCTATGATGCTAAGTGAAATAAGTCAGACAGAGAAAGACAAATACCATATGATTTTACTTATATGTGGAATCTTAAAAGCAAAATTAATGAACAAACAAAACAGAAACAAACTCATAGATGCAGAGAACAAACTGATAGTTGCCAGATGGAAAGGGGTGGGGGGATGGGAGAAAAAGTGAAAAGGATTAAAAAGTACAAATTGCTAGTTATAAAATTAGTCATGAGGATGTAAAGTACAGCATAGAGAATATAGTCAATAATATTGTAATAACTATGTATGGTGCCGGATGAATACTAGACTTACTGGGCTGATTACTTCATAAGGTACATGCATATAAATGTCTAATCACTATGTTGTGTACCTGAAAGTAATATAATATTGTATGTCAACTATTACTGAAAAAGAAATTTAAAAAATAATCTAAAAAAATTAATCAAGTCACTACTTTAATGGACAAAAAAGGGAAAACCATTTAATCATCTTAGATATAGAACACACACTTGACGAAAATGAACACACATTCATGTTAGAAATTCTCAAGAAAACTAGAGAAAAAGGGAACATCCTCAACTTGATAAAGGCATCTACAAAAACCCTGCAGATAACAACAGACTTAATGGTAAAAGACTGAATGTTTTCCTCTTAAGATCAAGAGATGTAAGAACCAGGGAAGAGTGTCTCCTTTCATCACGTCTATTTGGTCTTGTACTGGCAGTCCTAGTCTACTCACTAAGAGAAGAAAAAGAAATAAAGGCATAACTATGTAGTAAACAATTTAAGCTTGCCCTCAAAGAGGTCTGGCCTTTGCCCTTAGCTTCTGAGAGGAAACCTCTAAGCTCTCAACATTTTATGCTGAAGATGAAGGAGCATCTTTGTTTGCCTGGAGGGGCTTGGGTCATGCTAGATATTCTAACAATATGATTTAGGGTGGGGTTTACCCACACCAAAAGACCAACAGTGTGATTCAGGATGGGAGGTTTGGTCAAATCATAGCAGTCAACCTGGAGACTAAGATCAATTAAGTGGTCAATCAATCAGTCATGCTTACGTAATGGAGCCCCCCAAAAACTGAACACTGAGGCTCAGGTGAGCTTTCCTGGTTGATGGTACACCATGCATACTATCACCCATCAATATCAAGAAAGTAATACATCCTGACTCTACAGAACAGAACAATGCAAGTGCTTTGTTTGATATTTCCCTGGACTCTATCTTATGTACTTCTGCCCTTGACTGATTTTAATCTGTATCTTTTCCTTATAATAAGTTGTACCATGAACAGGATAGCTTTCAATGACTTCTGTGAGTCCTTCTAAATGAATTATTGAAACTGAGGGTAGATTTGGGTTGGTGTCAGAAGCAAGGATGATCTCTTGCGGGGACTGTTCCCTCTAACTTTGTAGTTGGCTAAACTTTTCCACATACAGATTAGAAAGGAAGAAATAAAACTGTCTTTATTCACAGATAACATGATCATTCTATAGAAAATCCTAGGAAATCAACAAAGAAGAAACTACTAGAATTTGTAAGTTTACCAAGATCTCAGGATACACTACTGCATTTCAAGACTTACTATACATGTGTCTCAGTGGAACAGAATAAGAGGTCCAGAAATAGACCCTCACAGATGGACAACTGACTTTCAACAAAAGTGTCAAGTAATTCAGTGAGGAAAGGATGGTGTTTAACCAAGGGCACAGCAACCACTGGATATTCACATGCAAAAAAATGAACCTTGTCCCTACTTCATACCAGATACAAAAATTAAAATTAATCATAGACCAACACATAAAACTATAAAACTTATGGGAAGACATAGGAAAAAAATCTAATGACATTGGATAAGGCAAAGATTTTTTCTAAAGATAGGTCACAAAGAGCACATACTGTAAAATATTTAAAAGTTAGATTTCATCAAAATTAAAAACTTCTGCTTTTTTAACATCACTGTTAAGAAAAGAACACGCCAAACCATAAACTGGGAGAAAATCTTTGCAGGACCCTTATCTATCTGGTAAATGATTTTTGTATTCTCAATATATAAGGAACTTGTACAACTCAATAATAAGACAAACAGCCCAATAATAGATGGGCAAAAATTTTGAGACGTTTCCCCAAAAAAACAGATACTGATGGCCAAAAGGCATGAAAAGGTGTTCAAGGTCACTGGCCATTAGAAAATGCTAATTAAAAACCTTAGTGAGATACTTCTATAGATTTACTAGAATGGCTAAAAACAAACAAAGAAAGAAGCCTCTAGCACATGCATGAAAGAATACAGCACAGCTGGAACTCGCATACTTTGTCAGTGGGATTGCAAAATGGGCATGGTGCAGCCATTTTGGAAAATAGTCTAGTGGTTTCTTATCAAATTAAACATACCCTTGCCATACAACTCAGTAACTTTATTTGTCAAAATAAATGTGCCAACAAAGACCTGTATGGGAATACCTATATCAGGTTTATTATTAACAATAGTCCCAAACTGGAAATGATTAAAAACTCAAATTATTCACCAACAAATTTGTGAATGACTGAACGATTCATGGGCCATCCATGCAGAGGAATACTTCTCTGTTATAAAAACAAACGACTAATACATGTAAGGACATATATGTTTTTCCAATGCATCACACTAAGTGAAAGAAGCCAGACTCAAAATGCTACATTCTGTATGGGTATATTTATATGATTTTCTGGAAAAGACAAAACTATAGCGACAGCAAGTAGATCACGGTTGCCAGGGCCTGAAGCTGGGGGAAGGGTTGACTACAAAAGCACAGGAAGGAACTATTTGGGGTAATGGGACTGTTTTATAGTGAATGTTCTTTAAACTGGACACCTAAAAAAGGTTGAGTTTTACTTTAATTCACACCTCAGTAAACCTGACTTAAAAAAACCCCCAAACCTCACAAACTGAAAAGATATTTACAATGTATGTAACTGATAAAGAATCCGTGTCTAAACTCTGGAATATAAAAGGAACTGATGGGAAAAAGTTAAGCCTCTTTGTAGAAATATGTGCAAAAATGTGAACAGAAATTTCCCTAAATAGGAAGATTAATTAAAAAACACATTAAAGAGTTGCTCAAGCTTATTTAGAAATCAGGGAACTGCAAATGAAACCTTCAGTTACATACTATTTCTTATCTATAAGATTGACCTCAAATTAAAAACTGGACCATTTTGCGAGTTCGTTAATAATGTGAAGCAATGAAAAGTTTCATCCATTTTTTTTGTGGGACTGTAATTTGGTGTAACTATTTTAAAAACAGTTTGGTATTATTTAGTAAGGTTAAATAATGTATACACTCTGATCCCAAAATTCTCTAAGCATATACCGTTCTGACATTCTTCTACATGTGTACCAGGACATATATACAAGAAAGTTTGTTAAAAAAGCAAGGAAGGAAGGGAGAAAGGGAGGAAGGGAGGAAGGGAGGAAGGGAGGAAGGGAGGAAGGGAGGAAGGGAGGAAGGAAAAATGAAAGAAAGAAGGAAAGGAAGAAAGGAAAGAAGGGGGGGAGAGAGAGAGAGAGAGAGAGAGAGAGAGAGAGAGAGAGAGAGAGAGAGAGAGAGAAAAAAGGAAGGGAGACAGAAAGGAAGGAAAGGAAGGAAGGAAGGAAGAAGGAAGGAAGGAAGGGAGGAAAGGAAGGAAACCCCTAAATGTACATCAAAAGTAGAATGGATAAGTAAGATATAGTATAGTTTTACAATGTTATACTCTTCTGCAATTAAAATGATTGAACTATAGGCACATGCACTAAAGTAGATGAATGTCAAAAACATTCATTTGAATGAAAAAAAATCACAGAAGCATACATAAAATAAAATTTGGTGTAGATAAGATTGAAAAAAACTCTCGTAGGCTATATAGCATGATCATTTATAAACATGCGCCTGGAGACAGGCTGCCTGCATTTATAGTCTAGCCTCCCACTTCCCAGCTGTGTAGCCTTCAACTCCTTGTGCCAAAATTCCCTCACTTGTACCGCGAGGACACTAGTACAGATTAAGATGTGCTAACATGTTGGGGTAGCACGTGGAAGTATCCGTAAATGGTAGGCATAATTACTATTCTCTAATCCACTAGGTGGATCCTCAGTGGTGCCAGGATAGCAGGTAGAGGCCCCCCTCTCCCTTCAATGAGAGTAGCAGGGTGCAGCAGTAAGAAATGCATGGTGACAATGGCTCTGAGTGCAGAAATCTACAGCTGTCCTCATAGAGGAGTGTGAACCACTCAGGATCTATGGAAAAATAAAAGGGAACTGGGATTTCTGAAGCCCAAAAGACCAGTTGACATTTTTAGCCAACCTTGATTATCCTGAAGAAACAAGAATTAACATGGATGAAGTCTACCCTGTACGAGATACGAACTACATGCAATCCATTTCTGATTTCTTTCTCCCTCCAGGCACGAATTTCCCAGATGGTAGTTATTCCTAAGCCTTTTACTTGAGCACTTTCCTCCTGTCTCTCGATTGATTGCTTATTGGGACCTTCTTCAAAGAATAGGGCGGAAGGAAAAAGATACAAAATGTAGATCCCATCAACCCTCACGTCTCAGAGTTAGCCATTTCTTAAACTCAAGATGTGGTATGGCGAGGCTGAATTTTCATTATGCCAACATAATTATTGGAGAAGTGAGACTTTCAGACAGTCACATGGTTGTCTATTTTATCTGGCTTCTTATCACTAGCTTTTATAGTTTGATTACCGAACTGTCAGTGTGGGGAATAAAGTGAGCTCTTGTTTTGATATCCTTAGAGTTAATTATCATACAGGGTTTACTCTGTTTTCCAAAGGGAAGCTAATGATGGGTAGAAAAGAATGAGAATTTATAACCAAAGTGAACTGTGATCTCTAATGCATTAGGAAAGCTCTGTATAGTTTTTACTAGTATTTTATCATTACTCTCATACACAGAACGTTATTATTATAGTAAAACCACTACAATGCCTTGCTTATTACTTACCCTCTTATTTCTACTTGAGCAACAGCAGTGATGTTGATTTGCAGGCTCACAAAATTGCTGTCTGGGTTGTCTTTGTTGGAGCTAAAACACAAGGACATAGGATTCAAATATATTTTCTCAGACATGTTATTAAACGATCATAAAATACATTCAGTATATCACAAGAGCAACACACATGACCAATAGGATCATTCAGAAAACAATGCCATATCCCTTCTATAAAAACCTAACCATTTGTAGATGGAAATGCTAAGATCCACTATGATCTAAAGTGATGTAGGAACTTCCCATGAGGAGACACCTTATCTGAAAACACAGTAGGGATCTAGAGAAGCGAACATTTTTCTGTTTCAATGGCTGAACCAGAGCTGAGTTCATTTCCCAGCGTCTGCCCTGAGCACATTCCTTCACTTCTCTGAGCATCATGTTCATTGCCCATCAAATAGGAAAAGGCCAGCACAGGCAACTCCTGATTTTTCATGCTCAGAAAGAGCAGTGCTGCCAAGAATGATCCAAGAACAGCACACAATGGAAAAAGAATTTGCATTTGGCTCTGGAATGCATCATACCATACATTTCTTTTTTTCACAGCAAATTTATCTTCCTTATGGTTGATTGCTTAACTAATGTTAAAATAAGTGTACATCCACTGCCTGCTCACTGGTTGACTAGGGTGGTGTGTGTGTGTGTGGGGTGGGGTGGGGTGGACAGAAGCATGGCCAATGGCAAGAAAACACGAGAATAGAGAGAGCTGAGCAGTCCGTGCGGTGGCACTGAGAATATGACATGGATATTTGTCAAGTGGTGCCAGAATCTCAAGATGGAAGGTGCATGCTTAAGAGCATTTCTCTGAACAGTGGCGAGATGATTTTCGAGTTTGCTGTTCCTTTCTCTCTAGGCAAATATAATTCGATATGAAATTTAACTTTTAAGAAACGCATGTGTTAAGGCAGCCGATGCTGTAAGGAAAATGAAACGTGTCTCACGAGGGGCTTGACTGGTAGCTGAGCTTTGGATACAATCCCACGTGCGTTTATTGTCCTACTGTGCTTTCATGGAAGTTACCCTAATATCCCAAAGGATGATGCTTTTAACAAACTGAGACATGGCCACGCCACCCCTGACAGGTCATGTTTCTGTTTGGGTCTCATTAGGGAGAGGAAGCCTCCTCTTTGCTCCTCAGCACACCTCACGCAGATGCAATGGACAGGCTCTAACATTGCGGTAACGGGGTATGTGCTGATGAGCTTGTGAAACTGTCCAAATGTGGGAGCTGGAAAAGACAGGATAAACGTCTGCCTTCAAAGGAGGGGCAGACAGAATTGTTCCCACATTGCTTTTGAAAAGTCCTGTTCGAGTGTATATACTGATAAGGCAACTTAAACTGCAAACACACATAAAAGACATAAACAGGCAAATGTTACCCTCATTTCCTGAAATGGGGTATCATCACTGCTAAGCTTGTGATGAGCCTAGAGGGACTTGTTCACCAAAGCTTGAACCCCACTTTCCAGGCCACTTTATTATCACATCTGGGGTAGATCAGTCAACTAAGAAGGTTTTCTTTTTTTTTAAGGCAGGATTCTGAATTACTAACCACTGAGAAGTCATTAAGTAATTCCACTTGTTGCAGAGACGCTGTGGTTCCAAATCCATTACAGGAAACTCTTTAGTTTTGGAAATTTAAGTCTAATTATTCCACAGACTACCCTGACTTTGTTCTATTTTCTAGCTCACTACTGCTTTGCAGCAGTGCAAATTAGAATTATGGAGGGGGGAAAATTGTCATTTAAGTTATCCCATAATTCTATTGCATTTTATTTTCAAGTGGTTCAAATAACATGATTTTCATTACTCACAACATCCTGAAAATGTAAATACATATCAAGCACTGAAAGCATCCTGGGACAGGAGTCTAACATGCGGCTTACAGAGGTGGTTCTGAAATGTAACAAAAGCAATGGCAGACTCGGAGGCTAGACCTGGTTGGCTAATCAGAATCATCCTGTGTCACACCAGCTTGCCATGACACTTGGCACTGCAGCCAGTGGTGTCCACAAAATCTCCTGGTGAGAAAGCCTTGGGGCTTGATATATAACTTAGATGCTTCTTTGACGTCTTTCCTGGAAGGAAACCTCCATCACTGATACCACTGCTACATTCAAACAAGCAATTCATCATGGCCAGGGATGCTGAGCTATTTATATGTCAGGGCTGCTTCTACGCCAGGCATGAGAATTTCCTCTCCACGACTACACCCCATGTCATGCCTCAAGGAATAAACATGTTTTTCACTTCCTACTCCAACGCGATTTTCTTTTTCTTGACTGTTTCCTACTTGCTATTTTCTAGCACTCCCTGTATGTATCCTGGGGTCTCTGGAATGTCAGCAAAAACAATACAATGTTCACTTTGCCAGCACTGAGGAAGCAACTGCAACAAATAATCACAAAGTCGCGTTGGTCTGTGGGAATTGCTATCTGAGACCCGCTCCACACAGGGAGGAAAATGTTTATATGTCACATAAAGCCAGGGCTCGGAGACACCGTTTAATGCAAATATTTGGCAACATGAAATACTTTAAGTTTATTAATTTATAAAGCCCATTTTTTTGGGTTCTATTTGTGGAGAAGGGCATTAAATTGTGGGTAACAGTGGTCAATATGGTCAAAAGCTTTCAACTCCAGAGCATTTGCTTTGGTTTATTTTTGGTTTAAACACATTTAAACTGGATGCAAACCATCCATTCAATACTTATTTACATCTTTGGAGTCTGACAGCAAAGCATGCAGATAAATGCTCACTTCTCAAGTACTTTAGTATTCGAATATTCTCAAACACTTTTATCTCTGTAATGTATGTTTTTGGAATTTGATGCTTTATGCATGCTCCAGTAGCCTCTCCAGTTCTTTTGGCACTTCTCCGTTTTTATGTTTTTCAAGATAATGCTGAAATAGTCATGAATTTCTATAGCATGGAAGGATGGAATATAATGATGGCCCATTCTTTTAGATGAAGGGAGATGTTAAAAATGTGACCATTCCTACTTTCCGTCAAATTCAGCACTTCATTGCCAAATTCATTATTTAAATAATGGTCTTCATGATGGATTTGGGGAAGGTATTTAGAACATTATTTAATGTTCTCTGTTCCTTGAGTAAACTACAAATTGCATCTATTCCGTTATCCATAACTGTAGTCCAGCATAAGGAGGTAACCTCAAGGAGTTTTCTTTGCACCTTTGTAACAGACTTTCTTTCTGAATAAAGGCTGCATATTTTATAAGAGGTGTATCTTTCCCCAAGTGACACGAATCTTCATGCCACCGTAGGATCAATGTCACAGACAATGATGGTGAGAAATACAAACAGCCTATTGTCTGGAGTGATGGGGGTCCTTCTCTATGGAGTGCTTTCTCTTTTTGTCTGAAAACTTACATATATGAACAGATTTCCCAAATGAAAATATTTAGGACTACCTGAACCTTCTGGGAAATATAAGTTTATGTAGATAAAAGGTGTGATTTAATAAGCTTTTGGTACAGTGAAGGGATATTACTGAAGAATTCATTCCATCTGCATCCCATCACTAATTTGGGTAAACTAAAATAATCTCCCTAAAACTCAGCAGAAAATACTTAAGTTAAATTAAAAAGAGACATAATGAACGTTAGGAAAGGACACACAGAGTAAGTTAGAAAACCTTTCTCCCTAGCAATGTAGGACAAAGTTCGGGGGATAAGGTTTGTGACACAGGTTGCACATTCTTATAGAGTTTATATATATATTTTAAAAACCCTAAACTTCTAATGAAGTGGCTGTTACAAATAACCCACTGGGCAAAATAATTTTTCTAAAAGCCATGACACTTTAATGATACCTTCCTCTTGCAGGACAGAAGGCACGTTTAGAGTTTAGCCACACGGTATGCTAGTATTTGAGAACCAAATTGTAGAGACTGACTTCAGAGTCGTTTTTGTAGTAGAACATGTGGAGCGAGTTATAATCATGGAAGGCCTAGATGTGCTGTCTACATCCGTGTTTTTCAAACTTTTTAAATTTCAGGCCACAAAAACAATAGATTACATCTCCCAGGGTATCTTACTAGATATATTTACGTTGATCGGAAAGGAACGTTTCATGAAGAGGACTCTGAGATATTATATTCCATTTAATTTCCTTTCTTTTTAATATGAGTTGAGAGCCATTGTATTGATTCCATTACTGGCTAATGGATAGCAGCCCACAGTTGGGACTCCCTGACCCTCATGTGCACTGCTTTCTGTGGGTCTTGCTGCTCCTGAAACATTATTTTTGGCCATGAAGGAGCAAACAGAAAAATGGCGAAAGGGTAATGTCATACTTGAATCCCTGAACAGGGTCAGTCTTGCAGGAAAGGGGCAGCTACCTACGTGGCTCAGCTTATAGTTGCCACAGAAAAGGCTCTGCCCTTCGAATATGTGATCTTACCTGCATCCTGCCTTGTGTTCACATTAGAGACTGATTCATTCTTGAAAAGTTAGATTTCAAGATTTCAAAGGCAGAATCTATGCTCCCCCCCCCCGAAATGTTGTTTTTAGGGATTAGCTGTCTCCCAGCTGAGAGGAATAGCAGGTATGGGTGAGGGTAGGAGAACGAATGTGCATCAGACTAAGGAAAAATGGAGATGAAGGGGGGATGGGAAGGTCCCTAGGACAATATTTTACTCTCATAACTTGGCCTACAGAAAGCAATCTCTAATGCAGAGCCAAAAGTATTGAGAAATAACTGAGAAAAACACACGAAAAGAGGGCTGTGAAATCCTGGTTTCTCATTTCTGATGGACGTCTAAGGTGAAAGAGCTTGACAAGTAGGATTCATTTCACTGTGGATCCCTTTAATATTGAGTGTTAGGCATTTAAAGGTCTAACCTTCTGATTTGAAGATCGAAGTTAATGCTCACATTTGTTTTCTCAAGACGTGGAACTGCAAATCGGAGGCCCAGAGAGTACTAAATAAAATAAAAAAAAAATCATACAAGATGTTACGTTATTACATGGGCGGAACCTTATACACAGCATAAAAATCTTTTAAAGTCATCCTGCAAAACTCCACCTGAGACTCCTGTTTCTTTTTCTGCTTCCACCCTGGAAGCTGCGAGCTGAGAGAAAGTTATGCAATTGACATTGTAGAGCCCAGATGACCCATTCCCTATATATTTTGGTTCCCTCTCTTCATTTAGCCCCCTACCAACTCTTTTCCTGACATCTCCCTCATATGCTAAATTAAACGCCTAAATATACAACAGGTGATTGATTTGGAGAACTATGATGCTTCCATTTAATGGACATTTATGTAGACATTGAAATTATGGCTGTGGAGCTTATGCACCAAGGTGGACAAGTCATCTGATATAACGATGATAAGCAAAGAAAAAAGGTTACAAAGTCCCATGTGCAGTGTGTTTCAGTGATGGTTTTAAAAGTGTTTGAATGGGAAAAATGACTATACGAGAGTAAAGATATAGTGTAAGAAAAAAATACCAGAATAATGTGATAGAGTTATGTGAATAGTATCGTGCATGAGTATGTATGGATTATTTTTCCACCTTTATTTTCCAAACTTTAAAACCTGCTCATATTGTTTTTATAATCTGAAAACAGATTTTAAAAACTTGGAGAAAAATAAATCCAATAATATAAATAAGGAAGTAACAATAGTAGTTAAGACATGCAATGATATTCCTTACTCTCCCATGCACTGTGCTAAGCTTGACATGCATTGTCTCATGTAGCATGATCACTACCCTGTGCAGTAGGTACTGAGTCCTGACATTTTACAATCGAGCAGCAATCTGAGGACTTGCTCCAGGCACAGAGCAAATACACTGACAAGTTGGAATTGGAATCCCTCCAAGCTGACTCCAGAACCTGTATTCATGGCCACTCTACTATGAGACTCAAACCTGTAATTAAAAACTCATGCTAATATGAACGAGTAATAACACGAATTGATAATGAATGATCATTTTAAATTTAACTCATCATAAATCTTCATCATTTCCCTAGCCCTGACTGAATGGGCTACAAGCCAGGTACCGCCTTAATGTAAAGCCACTAGTGCTTTCTATCACATCATGGCGTTGCTCCAAACATTCCTGCAAAGAGGAATTCTCTCATCTCAGTGTGACTTGCCCAAAGCATCACAGCTGATAAATGGCGAGGCTGGGATTTAAACCCAGGTATGCCTAAGTATTAAGCCTATGCATCCTTATGCCCCAGGCGTGATGAATAGCTTTATGATTCCAAATGTGCAAGTTTCTGTGAGGCTGCCGGGCCTTTGCATGTGCTCTTTTTTTCCTCCTTCGGAAACCTCATAAGCCTTTCCCTGCTTTTTCTACTTGGAGAACTCCTGCTCATGCATCAACGTTCAGAACAAGAAATACTTCCTGCAACACACCTTCTGACCCCACGGGCCAGGTCAGGCAGACATTTTCTTTTCATCCTGTCTCCTTCTGTGCTTGTCTCCCATCACTCAGCCTATGCTATTACTAAGTTTGAGTTTCTTATTGAATGGGGATTGTATACTTTCATCTTAATATTGTCAGACGCTAGCTTGGCACCAGGCATAGAGAAGGGGTGGCATGAAAACTGGTTATTTCTCATTAAAAAAGAATGAGGAGAAAGAGTGCGCCATGGTTTGTACACCTCCAGTGATGAGGATCATACCATATTGTGATGAAGCCTGCCTCATGTTGGTCTTCATTATAAAACAATTCAGCACGGGGTGAAGATACACGGAAGGTGTGACAACTTCGTGTGAGTGAGAGATGCATGTGTTCTTAACCAGAACCATACACCAACTCTCTGGGCATTGGTTCTAAGGAGCCTTTGTTGAACCACTATTTTCTTGTGTTCCTGCTTGAGAGATTTTGCAAGTTTTTACGAATCTTATTGACAGATCGATATTTGATATTACAATAGCTATTCTATGAAAATGACATTACTACTTACAGATTGTGCACAACACTTCTGAATACTGCCTTGAAAGTTTTGTTTAATTAAAACATAAAGTCACTTGAAAGCTATTTTTTTAAATATTGGGATTAGAATAAATATGCCTGGCAGTTTATGATGCTTTTTAATACCCAGGACTGCTTTTACATTGGGAACTTGACCACAATCCACCGAGTGTTCTTTTTAAAATACAACATGAAGAAGTAAATAAATCAAAATGTTTTAGAACACAACAGAAGGCAATAAAATTTGATGTGTTTAAGGGCATTAAAGAGTGAGATAAGAAAGCTATTAGGTTTCTTCCACTATAGACCTCAGAGATAAATGAATACAAACAATTTACTTCCTTGGCTTCTAAAGATTATTTGCTGGTAAAACGGACTGACATCCTGACATCGCTTCACATAAACATGTTTGTGGTTAAGACCACACTGCCATTTTTACCCTCTACTTTGAATGACACTGGTGCCGTTTTTGTTCCAAGATTATTCTTAGTTATTGATGATCCGAGATGATCTCTGGTCTAAGTTTAACACTTTTGATGCTGAAAAAAGAATAAGTGCCTGGCCATCCATAGATTCTGACACTGCTGCTACCATGTCAACTCATGTCTCTTTGGCCTTAGGGAGACCTCTTCATATCAAATTAGGTGGCTGGATTTTTTATGAAAACTAGCGAAAGGATTTATTAGCTTCTAGATAAAAGGATTCTAATGAAAACTGCCCTAATACCTGAGCTTAGATGTTCCATTCTATCTTTCATTGCCTCATTTAAATAGCTCATCTGTTATCCATTAGTTTTCATCCAAGTACTTACCACAGTTTTGCAGACAGGCTAGGACACAGGCTCTGTGTTCAGGCCTGGTTCATATCTTGGGTCTGTCCTTTATTACCTGTGTGACCTTGGGCAATTCATTTGACTTCTCTCAGTCTCATTTTTCTTACCCCTAACATTGGGAAATACCTGACTCATGGGGTTGGTTGTTGTGGAAATGAAATAACATTAAAAATGCACCCAGTGATGGGCTGATAACACAGAGGGTCATCAATACATGTTAGTTAATAAAAATCTGTCATAAAAGTTTATCTTTCATTTAAATATTTACTGTTTTTGAACCAAGAAGTGAGTTCACTAGACTACAGCTAGGCATATTTTTTTTATCTACCCAGGGTCAATGGAATAGAGTTTACTGTAGTGTAAAAAAGCAAAAAACATTATTCTGACACAATACCCTGAAATATAAACTTGGAATAGGTATTTCTGGATAGAAAGTTTCAAATGCTCAAATAAATGTGTGAAACACTGGGATAACTGGTTTATTTACTGCAGGACTTCTCAGAGCCTTTAAAAATTGTAGTGTCCAGAGGATATAATATCATACTCAGCAGTGACTACATAGCTCCCCTTTAAAGGCTTATTTCAAGGGATTAGCACTTTTAGGAATATAATTTGGGAAGTTCTGATACAAACCTATGCAATCGTCAGTTTTCATGAATTTTTTTTTCAAACAGGCCATTTCACTGATAATCATAAGCATGTAATTTAAAATAGAGGAGTATATATGTTTAGTTTATATAACTTTTAATTATGTAGTATTTGTAGATTTCAGGATTTTTTTCTGATTTATGATTTATGAAGTAATTATTTCTGTTGTGATATTTATTACAAGGAGTTCCTATGTGTACACTTAAACTGCAATTGCATAAAATAAATTTATTGTCCATGTGTAATCCTGAACGGGAAGTTCCTAAGCATGGAAACAAAGAAAGTAAAAGAAGAGGAGGAGGAGCTGGAGGAGAGGAAAAAACCCAAGTCCTTATTCTTTCATAAGTGTGTGACAGATCATTATCAACCCTTCCTTTTTCTTGCTGTATTATGCTTCAAGTGAGATGTATTATTCTTCAAGTAAGATCTGGGAAAGCTGATTCAAAAGCTGAATCATGGTAATATTTTAATATGGAAAAATACTGTGAATGATAGTTCTATGGGAGGTATACTGGAAAAACATTTAATTGTCTTTGCTAAAATTTTTAATTATGTTATTTCTAAAATCTTTTACTTACATTGTTTTGAATTCTAAGAAAAAAGCTGTAGTGGCATTCAAAGAAAAAATATTCAAAGAAAGAAATCTGTAGCAAAAAGAAAATAGTCTTCATAGGTTTGTCGTGACTAAATGACATGTAAGAGTAACGTCCACAGAGAAAGCATATACAAGCATTTGTCTCCTTGTGTTTTTAACCTTAGATTTTCCACTCTGTGTGGGTTATAATGCTAAATCCCCCTACTCTGGTAATTTCCTGCCTAATTTGTTTTAATAGCTATGTGCTAAATTGCTGAGTGCTAATTGGGGAGCTTTCCCTTAGTTCTCTTTAGAATTCAATTAGACAGAAATTAGAAAGTGCTTCTGGTTTTCTCTTACATTTGTTCCAGCCACCATAGGGTTCCCAAGGTCACACACCACCATTCTGGTTATATTTTCCATCTTGTACTCACAGCTCAGTGGTCGGAATCCCTACAACAGGAAAGAACACCAGCGTGGATTTCAGGGGGCGGAATAAATCACATCATGTCACAAAAGCAATGCTGTGGGCGGGAAGCTCCTCTTGATTTTAAACACCTGTGTGGGTAGCTGTGCCCAAGAGCTAATTGTGACCATCAACTCAGAAGAGAAACTTGAGAGACAAGATCGAAGTTTAATTTGAGAAAGAAACGTCTTAGATTGGTAACACATTTATTGTATTTACTTCAAGAAGAAAACGCTTAAGAGACAATGTATATATCTGAACATTTTATAAATTATTTTCACTATTGTTAGTGTTAAATTTGAGCCATAAGATAGTCAACGTGATATTCAACATGACTAAACACATTTATTCTTGCAAAAAATGGAATGACAGTAATAGCTATCGATTCTCATATGACTCAACGACCATTGGCAAAATTGCTTTGAACACACATTTCTACACATCATGGTCCCATTTTGAGATTATACAGCCAATCTTAGTTCAATCCTCTAAATACTTAAGGCAGAAAGAGAACACTTTCATGTCTACCCAGCGCTTCCTATTTCCTTCTTCCCCCATATCCTATTCTGATTAGAATGTACAAAAACTCAAGTTTGAAGAGGTGCTTAGAACTATGTGTTGGAGCAGGAAGGTCTCAAGTTTATACCAGACAAGAGGGAGAAGAAAATGAGGTTTATCTTTGAACTCCTGCCCTCTGCTCACAGCTCCACCCAATGTCCTCACATTATTCCCAGCTACCTAGAAATCCACTCTCTACTCTGAAAACCTCATTCTCTACTCTGAGCCTGTTCCCTATTTCAAAGCCTAATGGCCCTGCCCTGCCTTTGGTGATAGCTACTTAGTTCACTTGTTATTTCCCTCAAACCTGTTAAGTGCTACTAACACATCACCTGTCACCCTCATTCCCAAAGAGAAGCTTGCAGCATGAGGACTTACACAAAGAGGCAGCCTCTTGAGAATTTCTGCCCTGTGAGAGGTACCAGAAGAGGGTTCCGAACATGAGGACCTTTTATCTATCTGTCAGCTTTATTAAAATTTCACTTAAGGAAGTAATGTGAGTTTCCCAGTAAAAGCTTCAGAAACCATCCTCTATTCCATTCTTTCCGTTTTATTGAGAAAAATCAAGACTCAAACCTGAAACAAAGAAAAGCCAAACAAACCCCAGATATCTAGGTAAAGAATTCTGTAGGTAGATCTTATGCTTTGCTAAAAGAAACTTTAGAGGGCAGGGGGTTTTGTTCTATTCCCAGTGCGCAGAACAGTGTTTGGCACAAAGGAGTAGATGGCGTTGGGAGCCATGGAGCAGACGTAGTGCACACCCTTTCCTAAAGAGGAGCCTGAGATGAAATAGACAAGCACACCACCAACTATAAAGTCTTCCTCCTCAATCACCCTGGGGCCCTCTTCCCACATCACCCACTGAAAGCCTCTTCCAACCAACGAGAAAGGAGTTTATCACTAATATTTGAACGTACCATTTAATACATACCCTTTTCAAATATGAATGAATGACATGTCAGTCTCCTGCTGGAGCTAAGAAACACACACACACACACACACACACACACACACACACACATATATTTGTATGTATGCTGAGTAATATTCTCTCTTCTCAAAGATAGCTTATGCATGTATTCAGGTTCTTAAGGATTCATAACTAACTCTAATTGTACAGAGATGTTTTGTGTTGGGATCATTAACTCAATCCTGAAAACAGGAACAAAAAAAAAAGAACCCAGCAAAAGCTTTAAAAAAATTCCCATGTGTCCTCTGCATATAATTCAAGGTTTTAGTTTCTATAGTAAATATTTTTATCTTATCTAAAGGTTAAAAGTTATATATACATTTTTTTCAGCTTTCTAGAAATAGCTTTTCCACATCAATCAAAGATCTTTTCTCTACCCAGATCCCCCACCCCTTTTTCTTTTTTTAACCTTTATTTCCTCTCTAAGTGAGCAAAACAATAATTGTTTTTCTAGATATTTCTAGGCTAATTTCCTCAGCTGTTCCAGGAACACTCTTATTCTAACCCTATAAATGGATTTTAGAGTATCACAGAATATCACAAATGCTCATAGAGTATCATTCATTCATTTATTCATTCACCGAAAATATTTACTATGTTCTTGCTATTTACCAGGCACTGATAAAAAAGACTCCTTGTCCTCACTGAATTTCCAATTATTATAATAATTGTAATAAGCGATCACAAGCAACTGTAACATGCAATGGAAACACACAGTTAGTACAGCTTGTTAAGTTTTATGATAGGAGGAATTCATAGTGAGAGCAGAGGACAAGAACGTAGATTTAAGCAATCAGAGAAGGCATCCTAAAGGAAGTGACATTTAAGCTGATGGGGAGCAATGCAGGTCTGTGGCTAACAACAGGGGCCTGGACCTAACAGCTGAGGTTTCCATCTTGGTTCAGCTGTATAATTGCCGTGTAACTTTGGGCATGTTACTAAATTTCTCCTTATCTAAAAATGGAGATAATGATAGCCTTATCATTTCTCTATATGGCTGTTGTGAAGATTAAGTATAATAAATTAAATATACGCAAGAGTTCAGAGCAGTGCCCAGCCCATAGCAACTGCAAAATCAATGTTAGCAGTCTCAGTCATTATTGAAATGAGGCCTGATGAATGAGCAGAAATAAATAAGCTGGATAAAGGAGTGAGGGAGTAGAGTTAGCGTGTCAAAGGGAAGGAACTGCAGGTGCAATCTCTCTGTGGTGAGAGAGTGCAAGGCTATTTGCAGAAACTGAAAAGAAATTTTGTCCTGTTCGAATTTAGGGTGTGGGGTAAAGGTAAGAGTCAATGATGGCGATGAGGCTGAAGAGATAAACAGGTGTGATATACAAGGTGTGATCAAACAATATGGTGAATATTTAAATTAAAAAATTTATTACAGTAAAAGACACATTGCCATTAACCTCCCTCAAAATACTCCCCTTCTCTTTGAACACACTTATCCCTTCATTCTTGCCACTTTCTGAAGCAGTCCTGGAAGGCCTCTTTCGTGAGTGTCTTTAGTTGCGCTGTCACAGCTGCCTCGAGTTCATGAATCAATTCAAAATGTTTACCCCTCATGGTCATTTTGACTTTGGGGAACAGCCAGATCTGGTGAATAAGGTGGATGAGGACACACCGTAATTTTTTTATTTGACAGAAATTTTCATATCAGAAGCTATGTGTGACATGGAGTGTTATCATGATGGAGGATGGTTTATAGCAAACTTTAAAACACACCTTCTCTCAACCATAGCTAACACCCAACTGACTGCCCTGAGCAAGTTGAAACTTGTCACACACTGTTATTAAGGTTTGACACACTGCTTCCTATATTGAAGGTCCCTGCCTTTCTGTTGGATGGCACTTGGCAGCAGCATTCACCATATTTTGTGATCACAACAGAAAGGCTCCATGTCACACATCAGTTCTGGTATACGGCAATTTCTGTCAAATAAAAACCTTAGTGTGTCCTCATCCACCTTATTTACCAGATCTGGTATCGTGCAACCTCTGCCTCTTCCCCAAAGTAAAAATGATTCAGGACAACTATGCAGCCATGACAGCGCAACTAAAGACACTCACGAAAGAGGACTTCCAGAACTGCTTCAGAAAGTGGCAAGAATGAAGGGATAAATGTGTTCAAAGAGAAGGGGAGTATTTTGAGGGGGGTTAATGGCAATGTGTCTTTTACTATAAATACATTTTTAAAAAAATTTAAACATTCACTGTAGTTTTTTATCACACCTTGTAATTTAGGGCCTCATTAGCCATCTCAGGGATTTAGACTTTATCCTAAAAGCAATGGGGAGCTAGTAGGAGAGTGACGTGGTCAGGTTTGCATTTTAGAAAGCCGACTTCCCCCACAGGGAAGAGACTGGAGGCAGGATATGGGGAGCTGAATAAGGAGACTGTTACAGTGACCTCAGAAAAAGTGTCACTGCCAGCCTGGATGAGGACAGTGACAGTGGCAGTTAGATGGAAAGAGGCTATGGACTTGAGAAATTTAGGACTAACTCAGGCTTTAGAAACTATGTGGAGGCTGGGGCCATTTTCTGAGATAGGATATGTAGAGGACGAGGCAGAGCGTGAGTGTGAGAAGATGAGAAGTCTAGTTCTGGACACACGGATTGTGAGGTGGGTGTGAGACAGGATTGGAGTGGAGCATACAAGGTCCTTGGAATAGCCAGATTCTTGGGGATAGGAAGTTGAATGGTGGTTACCAGGGTCTGAGGAAAGGGAAACTCGGGAGTCATTGTTTGATGGGTACAGAGTTTCAGTTTTGCAAGATGAAAAGAGTTCTGTGGATGGACGGTGGTGATGGCTACACCATAAGGTGAATGTTCTTAATGCCAATGAACTGTACACTTAAAAATGGTAAATTTTATGTTACATATATTTTACTACAATGATGATGATGATGATGATGATGATAATAATATAAAGCACATAGGCCTTTATTCCTAGAAAAATGTAGAAAAAAGGTCACAGAAGGGAAGTGTAAAGCCTGGCTCAGTTAAGGTTTCCAGAGAGAGGGAGGCGACCAGCATCTGCATTTTTGAAAAGATGAATGTTTTCAACAAAAGAACAATAACACTTACGATCAGATAATCCTAATACGTTTCCCCTTGAGAAAAAAATTGTTGTTTTTTTTTAAAAAGAACTTGAACTAAGTTGAAATAAGAAGATACAGAAACCTCAAACTGCTTAAAAACAAAAAAAGTCAGAATGTGGCTCAGTCATGTCAAATTCAAAGGCTGAGCTAAGTCTCTGCCCGAGGGAAACTGATGGATAGTTAAGGACTCATTTGAGATTGTGGATAAAGACTGCTGTAAGGTTTACAGCCAAAGATAGAAACGATAAATGCTCCCCCTTGTTTTCCATGCAGCAACAAAGTGAACAGTCAACTGGATGTTTTGCTAAAAGAAGAACATTGTAGAACAGACACTTTGTTTAACCAAGTCAGAGGTGGAGTGGCATAAAGGGAATTGAAATAAAAATAGGAGTGAGTGGAGCCCTGGAACACTTAAAAAAAATAACATACTTGAGTTCATTTTTGGGTTTGTTTATGTATTATCTACATGGAAATATTTATTTATAGGTGATATTTTTCTATAAGTTTCTTCAACAGAAACTCGTAATGATTTTATGACGGTCAAAGATGCATGAGTATCACTCATCTGGATTTATTTTATTTTTTTACCAAGAAGATAATTTAACCAAAAACATAACCCATGAAATTAGAGGTGCGAATAGAGAATTTTATATTCTCAATGTTTTTTAAATGCCTATAAAATACCAATATCACAATAATTTGTTAACATCTCTTTAGTGGAATTACGTTTCATTAAATTGTTTAATCATTAGAATGTTGAAACTCCTCAGAATATGCAGCATTTGGAAACCAGGAGACATTTAATAAATTGTAATTAAATGAACAAATCCGTCAGTAAGTCGTGAAGAAGTACCCATTGTGCCTAGCTCTGTGTGATGAAAGAATGTTAAACTTGGTCTCTGCCCTTCATCATGAGTGTAGATTTCTGAAAACCGGGGACTGTCTCCATTATCCTACAATGCATTTGTAATGGTTTTTTAGATCAACCGATTACAAACACAGTAGAACCTGAGAATACTCTGAGTGGGAAGATTCATGTTCTGATAAGGAAGGAAAGACAATACAAAACATCGGTGTCTGTTTAATAAATAGTGGCATTGCGGGACTGGCAAATGATGAAGACCTGGCTTTTCTTGGTCCCAGTCCCAAAAAGGTAGACTAAGAAGAAAGAAAACCGAATGTGTTGCTTTTCCAGTGCCTGTGGAGGCTGTTATCAGTGCTCAGTTGGGATTGGTTGGACCTTCCTCCATAAGCAGTAATGAGAACCAGACCTCCTGGGACCTGACTGAAACTTAAAGAAACTCAAGACAAAGGCCTGAAAAAAGCCAGTGAGGATGGGAGTTAGCTTGGGAGCTTAGCTGATAAATCCAGCAATTGGTAAGCTGCTTCTTTCAGCCAGTTGTATTCTCTTTGCTTCTGCTTTCACACTTTGGCCGACTTATCTTTGCAGTATGGCCAAGAAAGAGAATAATACTGCTTCTGACCATCCGCCTTTCTGGCTCAGTGCTATTATGATGAACAAAGTAAGGCATCATTTTGGTCTCTTTCATTTAGGAAGAAACTCTCAGCTAAGATGGCTCTACTTAATGTTGATTTGACTTCAAAAACATACCTAGCTCTTTACTTCCGATAACTTGTTGGCATTACCTTGTTGCTGCGTTCAATCCCGACATAGTCTGCCTCTTCTGGTATTATCACAAAGAGTTCCGCTTCATAGGCTCCTTCTCCTTCATTTCGTGCATTGATTATGAGCATAAGGTGATTTTCATCTCCAATGATGACCTGATGCTTATCTCTAGAAATGCAGTTTAAAAGGAATCATTAGATACTATACTTTTCTGGATTCATGGATTTTACTTAGGGATTAGGTGAGAGGAAAAGAAGGGAGATGTAGAAATGCAAGACTGGGACAAAAAGATGATAGATTGTCATGAAGGGGTCGTGAGAAGAATTAAGGAAGCCATGTCTGGATGGCAGGAAAACATCCAGTGGTGGTAAATGTTGAGCAATCAGTTCTCGAAAAAAAAAAAAAAAGTACTGATTTGTAGCATTTGCTGATTCTAGTGGTCCCTACCACTGCAGTCAATTTCAAGCTACTGACATCCCTAACAACCTGCCAGCACAAATTCTAGAAAATTTAACAACTGGCTCACACGCGAGAATGAGGCAGCTTCAGTACACCCATGGAAACGTCCAACAGGAAGAAGATGAGCAGTGGCGGGTGGCGGGGGTGGGGGGTGGGAAGGGAGAGCGATGGATTAAAAACTCAGAGGGCAGACGTGTATTGCAAAGTGGACAGTCAGAGGGACGAAGGGCAGATAGAAGGAGATGGCAAATAGCTGATTGAAGTATTCTGAGGAAATTTCATTCACTCCAAACTTCAACTTGAACCAGCATTTGGAAAGGCCTGTTTTGCTTTTGACCCTGAATCAAAGCTATTGCTTTGGACACTGGGTTAATTGTAAAATTTGGAGAAAGTCTCCTGGAGAGAGTAGCAAGCAGATTTCAAACACTGATGGGGAGACAGGTCCTGGGGGGTGGGGGTGAAGAAGCATTAATCTGCTTTTTCCACCTTAGGCTGTTTAACACCTTAGTCCCATTTCTTTCCATAACACAATGTGGTGCAATAACCATTGTTATTGGTTGACTGGTGACTCTCCATGACAGGCAACTGGGAAGCCCTTTGATTTTGTGACAGCTCTGTTTTACTCCATAGAGTGCCATTACATTCACCCCCCACCCCCACCCCAACAAATTAACGTTGATATTGTTTGGACTGTTTTAAGGATGCCTTTGAGTCATGGGGTGCTTCAAAAACCAGTTCAGCAAAGGTGTCGATAGAACCAGCCTGTCTGAATCCACAGAACTGAGACAAGTAAATACAACCTGAACCACCCCATAGATGAGTTTACTTGGAACAAAAACATTTTTCTTTTCACTTCTGCTGAAAGATGAAACGGCCCGGGCGAAATCTTAGGGTGCGTCACTTGACACCAATGACAAAGAACTGACCCAAACCACAGGCGAACTCAAAGTGTAGCCAAGCTCAAGAATTTCAGGCAGCATGTTTTTTTTTTTTTGGTAGTAGTTGGCAGTGTATACTTTCTCCAGAGGACCTTTAAATAAACACCTGTATTCTATTAGATAAAATGTATAAGTTTATTTATTTAAACTTACGGTCTAGCTGACAGCTTCAAGTCTGGAATGCACATATTGTCTTCTCCACAGTCCACCAGGATGTGAGCCTGTGTTGTGCAAACAGGCATCAGGAATAATCTTGGAAACCCTGAATCACATCCTTTTTCTTGAAAATTATGAACGATTCCACATATTAAACCCAAGCTTTCATTTCACCAGGCATAATTCCACCCAGCGAAAAACCCTATGAGAGGCAGTGACCTCCCGATATAAGCTCGTTTACATAATAGCCCAATTCCAATTCATTCCGAAATGTCTATAAGGAATGCTACTCTGGCAATGTTTTGAGGATTACAGGCTGTATTGCTTCCATTACAGCCGCATTTTGAACAAATTAAATCTTGGTTGCACAAAGGAAAGGGCTTCCGAAAACACAATGATGCAGTGTTTCAGGAAACATGTTAGGAAAAATCTCCCAAATGTTACATGTTTGTGCGCAGGAACAAAAACAAAAGGGGCCGGATTCCGTCTTAAGGTCACAGGAGCAACGCCTAGGGCCTGACAGAGAATACCCCATCAAGGACCTACCTGTTCAGTAACAACATGCTCCCTGTAGTGGTTCAATATTGGCGTCACTTCCAGGCCTTCCTTAAAGGTGGATTCATCCAAACTATAATTCAAACTAATGTTGATTGGAGATAATTTATCTCGAAATTCAGTTTCATCCTAGGGAAAATAATCACCAACTCAAGAAAGGCTCTGTGAAATAGCTGCAAGATGTTCGTCTGGGAAAGGCATTGACTTTGGTCAGTGAAAGTGAACGATGAAGTAATTATCACCACAGCAGGCTTAAGCACACAGTGATTGATGCGGTATAGAGTAGCCAGTTTAATGAATAAGTGTTCAGAGATGTATCATTTAGAGCTTGTGGCTTCACTGAAATATATGCTGCTAGAGGTAATCTTCAGGTTCTCCAGATTTTCAGCTCACACAGGTTGGCCCAATGGCAAAGTAAAAAATCATACTTATATATGCAATAAGTGTCGTTGGAGGTTTTATGAACTGGGATTTGTATTTGCATGAAGTTGGCAGAATGTATGAGTCCTCTTGGGCTGAGAGGAAGAAAACACCGGGAATTCTCTTCCTCTCTTATCATCTCTTCAAGCTCTCACTTGGCATGAACTTCAAAACACCTTCAGCATATTTGAAGTTCCCTCAGGAAAAGGAATAGAACCCCTGTGACGTGAGTGAGTGGCACCAGTAGAAAGCCCTGAGCACACAGGAATGGACTCCGTGCACCTGTGGTGGGCATGCCACTCTTTAGGTGTGTGCCAGTCACCATGGTAATGGGACTCAAAGC